GAAATGCATCTTGTTCTTGCATTGGAGAGTTCAGCTTGTAACCTAGGACTTGCTTGGCCTCAGTGCACAGAAATTAGATCAATCTGATACCATACATATTTTTTAGAAATGATTCGGAAAATATTTGAACACCTGGTCCTAAAATATTTTATTCATCATGTTATAATAAAACATTTCATACTAATTTTTTTTCTTTTCCCATTTCCCCCCCCCAGGCCTTCACATCTCTACCCTTTGGTCCTGCTTCCCTTCTCCCTCCCCACACTCTCCGCCCCCTCTCGGAGATTCCCCCGGGGACCCCTTCTCCAAGGTCTGTCTGGGAAAAGATGCTCCCAGAGTGCACTCCCCCAGGCCTTCACATCTCTACCCTTTGGTCCTCCTTCCCTTCTCCCTTCCCACACTCTCCGCCCCCTCTCGGAGATTCCCCCGGGGACCCCTTCTCCAAGGTCTGTCTGGGAAAAGATGCTCCCAGAGTGCACCTACAGCATCCTGCCCTTTGCCTTAGGGAAGAGGTCATGGGGGGAAAGCGACATTTTCAGTGCGAGAACACAATCCACGTTACACCTTTGGAAACCTGGGCTGGCACAGAGTAGGGCGTGCCACGTAAGGCTGCCAGCTCTGAGTTGGGAGATACCTGGAGATTTGGGGGGTGGAGCCTGGGGAGGGCGGGGTTAGAGTCCAACGGCCAAAGCAGCCATTTTCTCCATGAGAACCGATCTTGGTCAGTGGCAGAATCACAGAATCATAGAGTTGGAAGTGACCTCCAGGGTCATCTAGTCCAACATCCTGTACAATATAGGAAATTCACAAATCCTTCTCCCACCCACACCCACAGAGACCGCTGTTCCACGCCCAGAAGATGACCAAAACCCTCCAGGATCCCTGGCCAAACCGGCCTGGAGGAAAAAGGCCCCCTGACCCCAAAGTGGCAATCAGCATTTCCCTGGGTGTGTAAGAAAGGGCCACAAGAACTAAGCACTGAGGCAACCCTTCCTGCCCTCCCTCTCATGATCTGCCTCAGTTCACAGAATCCACATTGCTGTCAGATGGCCATCGAGCCTCTGTTTGAAAACCTCCAAAGGAGGAGAGCCCACCACCTCCCGAGGAAGCCTGTTCCACTGGGGAACCACTCTAACTGTCAGGAAGTTCTTCCTAATATTTAGCCAAAAACTCTTCTGATTTAATTTCAACCCGTTGGTTCTGGTCCGACCTTCTGGGGCAACAGAAAACAACTCCGCACCATCCCCTTTACGACAGCCCTTCAAGGACTTGAAGATGGTTGTCATATCACCTCTCAGTCGTCTCCTCTCCAGGCTAAACATTCCCAGCTCCTTCAACCTTTCCTTGTAGGACTTGGTCTCCAGACGGCACCTGGAGTTTGGCAACCTTGTGTCAGACCCTTTCAAAGCAACCAAGGCGATGCTACCTTCTGGATAAAGTGGAATTTTGTTCCCCTGGGCAAATGCTCTGTGCCTTTAAGAGACTACGAGGCAAAGCCAGGAATTCCCCCTGCAGAGCAAGTGTTCCAAGCACAGCATAGCCTCTGTTGGAGGAGGCCGTGCAAGACCCAGTGTGGTGTCCCCAGGAAGCCCTCTCCCCAGATCCAGGCATACTGCTGAAGCAGAGGCTTGCTGGGGCCCTCGGGTTGCCTCACCCCATCCTGGCTCCCTGCTGCACTCCCTGGTCCAGCCGTGAGCCCCTCACTCACCCTTTGGGATGGCCAGAGAACTTGTCGCAAAGGATGGTGACTCGGTTGATCTCCCCGCAGCTGTTGAAATGGGACTCCAGCTCTTCTGCCGACCCTTCGTAATCCACCTGCGAAGACCACATAAGATACGCAGAGTGGTGGGTGTGCTGCAAACACAAAGCTAGCGCTCCTTGGCCAAAGAGTCCGGGACCCACTGAGACATGGGGTCCTCTCGAGGACGCGTCAGTCTGCCAACAGCCAGCCGCTCTAGCCACATTCTCATAGCTGAAAACCAGCTTTTCTTAAGGCAACCGTTTTGTTTTTCAAACAAAACAGGCACTTTAGTTTCTGCTGGACCTGGTTTTGGATCTGAAATACACACAGGCTAGCTGCACGGGAGCGGGGGGGGGAACTCTGCACATGCTCGGGGCCGTCATTACTGTGCACAATCCCGGGTCGATGACAAGCATGCAAAGCCGGCGCTGGCTCAGGTCAAGCCTCCTCTCACTTACATTTCCCACGTAGATGGAGCGGTGGTCAGCCTCAACTTTTTCTGCTGTCAGGCTACAGAAAGGAAGACCTGTATTGGGAGGGGGCGACAAAACGTTTTTCTGAAGGCAAGACAGGAACTTGGGTGTGCAAAGTAGCTTTACAGGAGAAAGAGCGTGGAGGCCTATAACTTCTTGTTTTACATTTGCTTTTTGTGTGTTACACAAACATTTATTTATTTGTTCGTTTATTTTAAATTTCTACCCTGCCCTCCCCACGAATGGGCTCAGGGCGCCTAACAAACAAGGGCACCATGTGCCAATACATAAAACCAAATAAAAGAAGATCTTGAGCAGAAGGATTTTCAGAGAGTACATTGAAATAAGCCATATTGAGTAACTATCTTCAGCACTTTTGTTGTTGTTCAGTCGCACAGTCGAGTCCGACTTTTCGCGACCCCATGGACCAGATCACGCCAGGCCCTCCTGTCTTCCGCCGTCCTCTGAAGTTTGCTCAACTTCATGTCCGTTGCATCGATGACACTGTCTGACCATCTCATCCTTTGCCGTCCCCGTCTTCTTTGACCTTCAATCTTTCCCAGCATCAGGGTCTTCTTCAGGGAGTGCTCCCTTCTCATTGGGTGGCCAAAGTATTTGAGCTTCAGTTTCATTATCTGGCCTTCCAGGGAGCAGTCAGGGTTGATTTCTTTTAGGATTGACTGATTTGATCTTCTTGCAGTCCAAGGGACTCTCAAGAGTCTTCTCCAGCACCATAGTTCAAAAGAATCTATTCTTCAACCTTCCTTATAGTCCAACTCTCACAGCCATACATAACTACTGGGAATACAATTGCTTTGACCATGCGGACTTTTGTTGGCAGGGTGATATCTCTTCTTTTTATCATGCTGTTTAGGTTCGCCATCGCTTTCCTCCCAAGGAGCAGGCGTCTTTTAATTTCATGGCTGCTGTCACAGGGATCCCAGGAACGTGAAGTCTGTCACTACTTCCACGACTTACCCTTCTATTTGCCAAGGAGTGATGGGGCCGGATGCCATGATCTTAGTTTTTTTGATGTTGAGCTTTAAGCCCACTTTTGCGCTCTCCTCTTTTACCCTGAGAAAGCAGCTCTTTAGGTCCTCTTCACTTTCTGCCATTGGAGTGGTATCGTCTGCATATCTGAGGTTGTTGATCTTTTCCCCAGCAATCTTAATTCCCGCTTGTGATTCATCCAGGCCAGCATTTCAGCACTTTACAAAACTGTATTAATAATTGAATTGTTTTATATGGTTTTATGTGGTTTTAACTGCATTTTATGTACTGACTGTGAGCCGCCCTGAGTCTGCATTGCAGGGAGGGCGGGGTATAAATGTGATAAATAAATAGAGCTTTCTTCCATGACCGTATGGGAATCCAGTCAAGAGCCGTTCAAAACAATCGCTCAAGTTAGGGTTTATCCCCCCCCCCAAACCAGCTGCCCTTGAGGCATTGACCCTGGTTCTCAGAAAAACCAGCTGGAAGCCATGCTATGTTTCCCTGCATGCGGAGCAAGCAAGCTATGACATCTGGAGACGCTGCTCAGCATTCCCGAAAATCCCTCCGGAACGGGAACGGCAGCATCTGGAAGCGAGAGCTGGCAGGGCCTGGAAATGCTTACTTTGGCACAGAGGGGGAGTGAGAGAGAGAGAGAGCGGAGTGCAACGTTAATCCCATTCTGCACATTCTAGGACGCAACAATGGCTGGAAGCCTATTCCTGGCTGGAGACGAGCAGCCCCACCACAGCGCTGACAACGGCCAATTTTTACCAGGACACACCCGTGTTTGTGCGCACGCTTTTGAGCTTTTCAGAACTGTCCCATCAGGCGGGCCGGATGACAAAAAGGAAAGGGGGGGGCAATGTTTGGGTAGGGTTGCCAGGTCCAGGAGGGCTATTTTTGGGCAGGAACGCACAGGAACGGAGTTCCAGCTGGCTCCCGAGTTGGCCACGCCCAGCAGGAACTCATTAGCATAACAGGCCACACCCAACAGCAGGAACTCATTAGGATTGGCTACAGTAGGCGTGTGTGGCCTAACATGCAAAGGTGTCCCTGCTACAAAAAAAGGCCCTGGGTTTTGACAACAAACAAGGTAAAACAGAATAAGAAGCAAAAGGTGGGTGTGGCTGGATGACCACACTTCTGGCAATAGGGGGCTGCGGCCTAATATGCTAATGAGCTGTGGTGTCAGGGTGTGGCCTATTATGCTAATGAGTTCCTGCTGTGCTTTTTCTACAAAAAAAGCCCTGAGGTCCGGGTTGGACAAGACCTGGAGATTTTGGGGGTGGATCCAGGAGAGGGTGGGGTTTGGGGAGGGGAGGGGCCCCAGCATGGTGCAATGCCATAGAGTCAGTCCACCCTCCAAAGCAGCCACTTTCTCCAGGGGAACTGGTCTCTGTCAGCTGGAGATCTGTTGTAAAAGCGGGAGATCCCCAGGCCCCACCTGGAGGCTGTTGCAACCCTATGTTTGGGGCATGATGGAAAAGCCCAAAGCCTTAATGACACGGAGACCAGGATCAGAGGGTACCCCGTGCAAGACTCACATCTGAAGATATTCTGGAAGTGACCGGGATGGGACAGCAAAGCCCTGGGGAATTAGATCCCTCCCCAGCCACAGAGCAGATGCAAGTCAATGGGGCAACAGTCAGAAGCGCGACCGCAGCTTTTTACTCAGGGATGACCAAGCAGCCTAGAGAGTCCGAGGGGTGGCCCTCCTGGATCCGTGTGATACAGTCATTGTGAAGTGCTCCTGCCGGCACTATTAGACTTGCAGCCCAATGTTGTGGGAGATGGAGACTGGGTGGCCAACCTCCCCATAAAGGTAAAGGTTCCCTTGCTCGAAAGCCAGTCGAATCCGACTCTAGGGTTGCGGTGCTCATCTCCGTTTCCAAGCCGAAGAGCCAGCGCTGTCCGAAGACGTTTCCGTGGTCATGTGGCCTGCATGACTAAACACCAAGGCGCACGGAACCTTCCCACTGAAGTGGTACCTATTTTATCTACTTGCAATGTCTTGCTTTCGAACTGCTAGGTTGGCAGGACCTGGGGCCAGAGACGGGAGCTCACTCCATCATGCGGCACCCGGGTCTCGAACTGCTGAACTACCGACCTTCCACAGCCTGCAGTTCAGCGTCTTAACCACTTGAGCCACCGCAGCTCCACTACCTCCCCATACGGCCTGGCATTCCCCTGAAATTACAGCTGGGAGCTTTGGGTGACAGCGACAGGCGTCTCATAAGCAGACGCAACATCGTCCACTGCTGCAACACTCTAGCAACCCCCCCACCCCCACCCCCGGACTCTGTGGTAAAAGCCACAATGTCACTTTCTCCATCCAGTTTCTCTGGCTATTGTATTAGGCAGCAGGAGGGAACTGGATGTGTGGAGAGCTGGGGGGAATCTGCTGTACAGCTGGAGACCTGGTCCCCCTAATTACCGCGGGATCCCCCCCCCCAATACAGAGGTCAGTTTCCTGGACTGGAATAACAGCTTCGCGGGGGGCAGCCTGAATGACATCGCATCCCTGTTGAGCTACCCCCAAATCTCCAGGTCTTCCCCACTCTGGAGTTGGCTACCCTATAAAGTCTCCACTCATATGCAAACCACGTTTTCCGCTGCATTGCAAGGGATTCTGGGCTCTTCATCACAGATCACATGGTGCAGCATCCCAGTGAGATCCATACCTGCCTCCGGGCCCATGACGAAGGGCTTTGCTCCTGTCTGCATGCCCTGGAATCGCTCGTCCTCCTTCTCCGGCTCGTCCTCCTTCTCCATCTCCCGAATCTTGGCCTTGATCGCCTCCAGCTCCTGCGTACCACGAGATGCAAAATCGTACACAGTCATGCTCAGTTGTTGCCACAGCACAAGGGGGGGGCTCTCGTGGGCTCCTCTGTAGCCACCCCCTGGGCCCTGCCGGGCGGGACTCCAAGAGGGGAGGTTCCCAGAAGCCCTTCCATTTGGAAACCCGACTTTCTCAAGCTAGATGTCAACGCTCTTTGCTATCTTTGGAGGTCAATACTAGGCGGGTGGGTGAACCTATAAGGTGTTGTGTAACGATCCATAAATGGGATTCTGGGGAGGGGAAAGGCAAATGCTTGACACATTTGATGCAATCGTCTTGGATGCACCCAGACGCAGGGCCGGCTCACTCACTAGGCGAACTAGGCATTCGCTTAGAGCGGGCCGGCCCTTAAGGGCGCCAAACTGCACCCGCCCCCCCACTGCCAAAAGTCCCCCCTTGCCAAAAGCCCTGCATGCATCTAGTCCCTGACCGGGGGGGTCACTGCAAAGGGACAGCGCGCATGCGGCTGGGGGGGGTCCCGGTTCCCCAGGGGGGAAGGAGACGGGGGGGAGAAAAAGCAGAAGGGCCACCCTCCAAAGAGCCTTGTAGCCCCCTCTCCCCCACACCCGATGCGCCCAGCTTAGCACCCGTCTTGAGTGCCGGAGAGGCACGTGGCGGAGGGGGGGGTCGCCACAAGGCAGCCTCGCCTGGGGGGGCGCTAGTTTCGCCTAGGGCACCGAAAAACCTCGAGCCGGCCCTGCCCAGACACATCCCAAGAGCACAAAGAGCCTCACAGGAACATTTTCCAGGGTGTCCAGAGTGGCAGCTGGGAAGGACATGCCAACCTGGATTTTGGGGTTCAGCCAGCTCAACAGCAAAATGTCTTTGGCTGACTGTTGAGTGCAGAAAATGGGGACTGTGGTGGACTTCAGTGTGGGCTGGGTGTGGGTGGGAATCCATCTGCACAGAGACATCTCCGCTCAGCATCCTCTCCAGGTCAGCCTTCTCTCCTAGGGCTGCCAACCTCCAGCTGGGATATAGCATTATGAAAATATATTTAGACTGCTGTTTTGCAGTGAGTAGTACGGAAAGAATCTGTTCCACTGAAGCGGGAAGAATGTCAAGTGTCAATTTCATGGATTAGAATTGTTGGCGTCACCTGCAAACGAATGTTACTCACGCAGCACACTTAGAAAAAGCGGTCATGTGAAACGGTAGTACATGCAGATTCCGTTGTGTGTATGCGTACATCTTTATTACTTGTTGAAGAAATACTACTCACCAGGGGTCATTTCGTAGAAAAGGAGGTGCAGGAGCTCATTAGCATAACTCATTAGCATGACTTATTTGCATATGCCCCACCCCCTGAGATCACCGGACGTG